ATTTGATGCATTATAACTTATTTAATTAACGTGCTGTTCTTGGACATGTAGATAATTTACACATTTTTGTCATTATCACAGGTGGTGCAGTATCTTTATAAGTAAATGTTCATCTACATCTCTGATAAGTTTTTTTTTTTAATATGCTAGGCATTACAGGGATGCCTGGGTGGCTCAGTCATTAAGCGTCTGCCTTCGGCTTGGGTCATGATCCCAGGGTCCTGGGATCGAGCCCCGCATCGGGCTCCCTGCTCAGCAGAAAGCCTGCTTCTCCCTCTCCCACTCCCCCTGCTTGTGTTCCCTTTCTCGCTGTGTCTCTCTGTCAAATAAATAAATAAATAAATTCTTTAAAAAAATATGCTAGGCCTTTCTTTTTTATTTTGTTTTGTTTTAATCTGCTGGGTTTTTTTTTTTTTAATTTTTTTTTTGGTAAGCTGTATGCCCAACATGACGCTTGAACTCATGACCCCGAGATCAAGAGTTGCATGCTCGAGGGGCTTGGGTGGCTCAGTCTGTTGAACCTCCAGCTCTTGGTTCCGGCTCAGGTCATGATCTCAGGGTGATGGGATCAGCCTCACATCAGGCTCCACGCTCAGCTGGGAGTCTGCTTGAGATTCTCTCCTTCTCCCTCTTGGCCTCCCTCTACTTGCACTCTCTCTCTCTCTCTCTCAAATAAATGTTTAAAAAAAAAGAGTTGCATGCTCTACTGATTGAGCCATCCAGGAGCCCCATATATCTGTGATAAGTTTTGAGGTAAAATCTTAGAAATGAAATTTCTGGGTAAAAGACTTGTGAACATTTAAAAAATAAACTTTTCATTTTGAAATAATTTTAGATTTACAAAAAGTTGCAAAGATAGTACAGAGAGTTCCCATGTACCCTTCACAGAGCTTCTTCTAACTTTAATATCTTACCTAAAACTAATAAATTAACATTGGTACATTACTATTAACTAAGCTCCAGACTATATTTGGCTTTTATTAATTTTCTTACTAATGTTCTTTATCCAGGATTCAGTCCAAGATGCCATGTTGTATTTAAGCATGTGAATACTTTTAAGGCTTTTGATGTGTGTAGGAAAGTTGTGTCAATTTATATTCCCATCAATAGTATAGTATATTAATACCTAACAGGTATTACAGCAACAGCAATAACATCAATTTAGTGGGCATTTATTTTTCCTTTTTTTATGTATATGGATATGTTATTAGATAATATATGCAGGAGAGTTTTAAAACAACTTCATAAATGAGAACATTTAAATGGTATGATGCCAGCTATAGAAATAAACATACAGTTTTGGAAACAATGTTTGTCACTCTTTTTAAATATTGTTCTTTCTAGATTTTTCCTTTTTTTAATTAAAAAATTAAAAAATGTTAATTCCAGTATAGTTAACATACAGTGTTATATTAGTTTCAGGTGTACAATATGGTGATTCAACAGTTCTGTACATCACCCAGTGCTCATCACAGCAAGTGCTGTCTTAATCCCCATCACCTATTTCACCCATCCCCCCCACCCACCTCTCCTCAGTTTGTTCTCTGGCTTTTGGTTTGTCTCTTTTTTCTTTGTTCATTTGTTTTGTTTCTTAAATTCTGTATATGAGTGACATCATATGATACTTGTCTTTCTCTGACTGACTTACTTCACTTAGCATAATACTCTCTAGCTCCATCCATGTTGTTGCAAAGTGCAAGATTTCATTCTTTTTTACAGCTGAATAACATTATATTTTACACACACACACACACACACACACACCACCTCTTAATCCATTCATCTATCCATGGTCACTTGGGCTGCTTCCATACTTTGGCTACTGTAAATAAAGCTGCTTATAAACATAGGGGTGCATGTATCCCTTTGAATTAGTGTTTTTGTATTTTTAAGGTAAGTACCCAGTAGGGTGACTGCTGGATCATAGGCTAGTTCTATTTTTAACTTTTTGAGGAACCTCCATACTGTTTTCCACAGTTGTTGCACCAATTTGCATTCCCACTAACAGTGCATGAGGGTTCCTTTTTTTCCACATCCTCACAACAGTTGTTATTTCTTGTGTTTTTTATTTTAGCCATTCTGACAGGTGTGAGGTAATAGCTCATTGTGGTTTTGATTTGCATTTCCCTGATGATGAGTGATGGTGAGCACCTTTTCATATGTCTGTTGGCCATCTGGATGTCTTCTTTGGAGAAATGTCTCTTCATGTCTTCTGACCATTTTTTAAGTTGGTGAGCATTTCTTCATGGCTAGTGGGTTTACAGATTTTTTTCATCTGTTTGGTAACCACTTGTACTTTTTGTTTTTGATTTCCCAATCATTTATAGGGGCTTTTGTTAACATCTAAGACTTTAGCTTCCATTCAAGCTGACATACAACCAGTGTCAGGTAAACATCTAGAAAGCCATCCCTGCATCCTGCAGAGTCACCAAGGCAGTGTTACCCAGGAAGGGGAGGCCTGCCAGATGTTTCCTGCAGGCCTTGTTTCTCCTGCAGAGGCCTGCCCAGGGCTGTGGAACCTGGGTGACAGTGAAGTGTGCTCTCTGAGAGAGCAAAGCTCTCCTAGTGACCCAGAGGCCAGCTGTGTACAAAGAGTGGTACAGGGTAGGCAGTGACATGTCGTAAAGAGCACTGTCCAGGAGTCCGGGGAATGGGGGTTTCGTCCTGGTTCTCTTACTACTTGTGTGAACTTGAGCAAATCTGGTCCATTTTCTGGGGTCTCTTTTTATTTTTCATCTGGTTAATGGTCAGGATCTCAGGGACTGAATGGACTGTTGCAAAGCACTTTGTAAAGCACTGTACGGATGGGTGATACCATCATGGGAAATGCTGTCATGAAGAGGACTGAGTAGTGCCTTCTGTGGGTAGTATGAATCTCGATCTACCATGCCAGGAGGGCAAGAAATGCTCTTGAGATCAACTCATTTCCAACCCTGAACTCCCGTCTTACCTGACAGCGAGGAAACTTTACTGCTGTCATTATAGGCCCCCTCCTCATGAGGGTCACCCAAGAATCCAGGAGGCCTCTGGTGCTACCCAGGAAAGGGGCACTTCTATAGGCTGTACTCTCTCTCATGGGCCCTGGTACCCTGTGAGGTTCAGACTCTGCTGTCAGGCCCTGCTTGAGGCTTTTGTGCCCTGGGCCCTACCTCCCCAACTCCATGGCCCACTGCTCGCTGAAGGTGCAGAGCACTAGTCTAGATCCTCTTCCCACTCCCCAGGGTCCCCTTTCCCTCTCCCCTTCCATTTTCTCCCTCCCAGGGTGGCCTTCAAGACACCCCTCTGAGTCTGCAAGGAGCTCGGGCTCAGGAAAACAGATGCAAAGGAGAGAAGGGCCTAGGGGTGGCTTCTGTCTCAAAGAGGACAGATCCCAGGCCTTCTTGGAATGAGAAGGCAAAGGAAAAATGCAACCATCTAAACACAGATTAATATCTGAGAAAATAATCTGGCCACACCGAGAAGAAATTGGAAGATATGTCCTCTTGTCCAAATACTGTCACAGACCTGTGGGGTGTCCTCAGGCATGTCATACATCGTCTCCAAGCCTGTTTCCTCCACCGTGCAGTGAGGGGCTGGTTCCATAACCTCTAAAGCAGCCCTGGACATTCACCATCCTAGAGTCAGTACTTCTGGGAAGGGGTGAGGTTTTCTTTTATTTTGACATTCTTGGTCTTTCCTAGTCACTGTCACGTGACCTGACCACGGCCCCTTTCAGCACTGCCGACAGATTTTTCCCTAGGCCTATTGTTGGTCTAGTCTGCGAACATTTCTTTTGTAGCTCTGTGTAATCATCATGGTAAATTTGAGCTAGCTCCAGGCTTGGCCTCAGTGCTCTCTCTGCATGATCTCATTTAATCCATATAACTGTTCGTTGGGTTGGTCCTACTGCTTTCATTTTATGAAAGAGGTAACAGAGGCCAAGTAGCGTTCCCACAGCCAGATGGTAGGTGAGGGACAGAGCTGGCTTGATTCTGAAGCTGAGTTTTGTAGCCCACTAGGTTTCTAGTTTTCTAGTTTTCAGCGAGGCAGAGGGAAGGCAAATGTCCTGGGAAGACTGTGTGACCATCCTTAGAACCAGTCTAGGAAAACCCTCCCTGAAGCAACTCCCAGGTACACGAGTCTCCCCGGGGCCCGAAGAGATGGAGAGAGTGTTGGGAGGAGCACAAGAGCCCCCTCCCTTGAGTTCTCTGGGGGTGAGAGAAAGCATTCCTCAGAGTTCCGGGGTTACTACCTGGACGTAAGGCCCGGGACTCTGGCTGCATGCCGACCCTGCAGAGGGCTGTCCTCCTTTCTCCAGGGGCTGGGGACAGGCACATGGCTAGTTGTGTTCATGCAAAGGTGGTCTGAGAGTGCCCCAGCCTGCTTCCTTCTTGGGCTGGGACGGGGGCGATGATGTCTGGGTTTATATCCACTCACTGGGCAGATACTTGGCACCGTCCTCACCACCCAAGGGCAGGAACCCACATGCAGGCTCATTACCTAGAGTAGCAGGTCCAAGACTACTTGGAATGGTGTAGCTCACACTGACACAAGCAAGCCTCCCCCTCAGTGGTTCTGTCCCACCAATCCCTCCACTGTCCCCACAGAGTTACTCCTACTTCTCTCTTTTTACCCCATAGGCCAAAAATTGGCTATGGAAAAAGAGAAAACCCCAAGACCTTGTGACCTTCCAAAGATGCATTCTATCCAACTTCCCTGATGAACTTGTTAGGAAATGGTATCTTAAGCCAGGTTTGGGGTTATATTCACTCAAAAATCATGTTGGACAGGGCGCCTGGGTGGCTCAGTTGGTTAAGTGTCTGACTCTTGCTTTCAGCTCAGGTCATAATCTCAGGGTTGTGAAATCAAGCCCCGTGTCCAGCTCCACACTCAGTGCAGAGCCTGCTTCTCTCTCTCTCTCTCAGCCTCTCCCCCTGCTCATGCTCTCTCTCTCTCAAATAAATAAGTAAATCTTTTAAAAAATCATGTTGGACCATTTCTTCTCATTTGTACTTATTAAGCCCTCCCTAGGTGATGCTGGGCCAGGCACTGTGAATATACTAGAAATCCAAGAAAGAAGATTTAAAGCCCATCTTCCATTTTACAGATGGAAACAGGACAGCCCAGAGATGCTAACAAGCTCATTTAAGGTAACACAGCTACTTGGGCAGTTGTGGGTTTGGAACTTGAGGTTCCTGCCTTTCAGCCCTGTGCTCTTTCGACAGCATCTTACACAACTTACAGTACGGTTGGTTGCAGGAGCAGGAACAATGGCTCTGGAACAATTATAGAACTCTTAGAGGGGAGCAGAGTTCCCCTTGCTGGTGATTTCCCACCCACAGTGGGCTTGCTGCCAGTGTCTTTATATTTTTACTTATAGATACTTGTCTGGGAGTTGTAATTTTCTTTTGAGACACTGGGAAATCCCATAATTAAAAAAATGATTTGGTGAAATTGAATTCCTACATTTTTGCCCAGTTTGTGCTTCTTCAGAGTGAGTGAGTGAGTGTGTGTGTGTGTGTGTGTGTTATGGGGGGCATTCTAGCACTTCCTGTCCTCAGACAATTTCACATAGGTTGATCTGGGTTAGGGCTCTCCATATGTGCTTTGACAGGGCACAGTGACAAAGAGGAAAGTAGGAATGAAGTGTGGAGAAGAGTTAACTGAGGGTCATATGGAAAGGAGATGTGATCTTACTGACTGGGACACTCTGTGGAGGGAGAGGGGGTCTGCATGGCTATTCACTGGTTGGGTGAGGTGGGGTCTCAGGGTGAGAAGAAAGAGGCTGATAAGGGTTTTTTTTTTTTTAACCCAGAAGTGTCCAGGTTTTGAAGGCTCCTGACTCATTGTCAATATCAGTCATTCATTCACTCAGATAATTCTGGAGACCATTCAACAAATAATGATCTAAAATCACGTCTGGGCAAAGGCCCTGTATCAGGTTCCAGGACGGATGTGTTCTATGTCCAGGGATATGTCTTGGTTGGTCTCTGTGGTATAGGAGAGAATAGTCTCCTCCAGGTCCCATGGCCTATGTGAGGGCTCCCAACTCAATGTCATTGGCTCTGGAGCTGACTCCTGGCTCCTGGGGTTGGGATGGGGATGAAGACTGCACATCCACACTGCTGCCTCACCGAGATCAGATTGGAGGGAGCAAGGTACTGTGGGGCTGGGCCTGGCTTCTAAGGAAAAGTATTACCGCAACACCTCTGAGAAGCCAGTGGGCCAAGAAGCAGGGGTTTGGAGGATCATGGTTTTCCATCCCTCCCTGACTCACACTGGACTTTTTGTTAGAGAAGATGAAAACCAGGCCCACTATCTGGAAATGAACTCAGATTTGGATCTCATGAGAGATCAGAATAGAGTCTCAAGACAGAAGGCTGGGGAACTTGGTACAGGCAGGGATATAGGCCTGAGGTGGCCAGTCCTGGGTCAGAGCCTCCCTGGGCCACACAGTGGGGAGAGACAGCACTGGGTGGGGCAGAACCACGCTTGGGTCACATTTCTAACTCCTGTTTTTTTGGAGCTATGAGTCGGACAGATTTTATCTTGCCTGTTTTGACCCTCCATGAGGCAACAGCTGGGGGCCAGGGGAGAGACAGAGAGCAGCAAGCATGCTGGTTCTTCTTTTGGTCCATTTAGCAATTTCCTGTAATTTTTTAGCAAGAACAGGTATAACCCTTTGTACCCTGAGGTGTGCAGTCTCCAACATATATGCCTGTGGCCCTGAGGCCATCTAGAAATTGACCCTGGCTCAGTCCAATCAAGAACAAATTCATTGACCACGGGGAAAGGTCAGGCGTACATTATATATGCAACCTTGGCCAGGCTCTTACATTCATCTGGCTGTTCATTCAGCAAATAGTTTTGGGGCACTTATTTTGTGCAATGTGCAGTGCAGGTCAAGGTCCACATTTTACCCATGAAGACATGGGACTACAGGGAGAAAACCATGACCTGGCCTCAGTTTCTAAGTGAGTGAAGCTGGTGGCAGTTTCTTGGCAAATTCAAATGTATCTGCTGCAAACAGATCCTTTTCCTCAGGTAATTCTGGGTGCTTTCCAAACTTACCAATTCCCTCAAGAATGGGGGAGGAGGCCAGGAAGCTCTCCAGGAAGAGGAACAGAATGGTCGAAAGCCCTCTGTTAAAGGGAGCAAGGTCCCTTTAAAAAAGCTGAGGGAAGACAGTGTGACAAGGAAGGGAAGGTGAGTTTGCAGGTTGGGCTCTTGGTGGGTAAATGGGGTCTCTCTGAACCTCACTCACGATCCCACTTCACCATCCCTTCTCTTCACCTAGGACACCCCTTTCCTTCCTCAGATCTCAGTTCAGGCATCCTAGCTTCCAAGGAAAACTGCTACCATAGCTACTCTGAGAAGCCAGTGGGCCAGTTCCATTTCCCAGCATCTTGATTCTTACCCTGTATCTCTCCATTATATTTCTCAAATCGATCTTGCCGAAAGACCTGTAATTCTTTTTTTTTAAGTAGGCGGGGCTTGAACTCACCACCCTGAGATCAAGACCCGAGCTGAGATCGAGTTGGACACGTAATCGAATGAGCCACCCAGGGGCCCCAAAGCCTGTAATTCTAGACTGGGAAGACTTCCATTGCTCCCCATTGCCTTCATCAGTATCAGAATCACCATTTTTCAAGCTTCCTCCATGTGCCAGTTAAAACCCCTCTAGATCTCGTCTTGCCTTCCTTCATGGTCTTCTCTTGACCCCCAAGGGCTAGCTAAAGTGAATCACATGTAGTGGGACCTGCATTCTCATGCCTCAGGGGCTTTGTACCATCTTTCTGGAGCACTCTCCCACATTCCTCATCTAGCCAACTCCTACTCATCCTTCAAAGCTCAGATCAAGGGCTACAGCCCCCAGGAGACTTTGTAAGGGCATTCCCCTTCTGCTCTTCCCCATCACCCTCCACAGAGCTCTGTCTGTCAGGGGGCTGATTGCCCTAGTTCTGTTTTCCCTATTAGAGCTTTCCAAGAGCCTAGCTCATGTCTGCATCCTTGGTACCTAGCATAGAATCTGACACATAGTTAGCAATAAATAAAAATCAGTACTGAAGGAATGCATGAGTGAACAAACGAATGAATTCTGCTTGGAGTTAGGGTGCTCACTAGGGAGATAATATTTGTGGTCCAAAAGAATGACTAAGAATTTGTGAAGTAGGAATTTTAATTTTAGGGACAGGGAATGGCATGGGCCAGGCATGGAGGTTTGGGAGAATGGGATGTGTTAAGGGAACTACCGCTAGTTCTGTAGCTGAAGCAGAAGTTGAGTGTGCAGGATATGCCAGAGATGGATCTGGAGAGACACAGCAAGGAACACTGACTAGTCTGGACTTTGCCCGGTACAGAACAGGGCAGGACATAGAGAGTGCTTTTGATGCCATGGGGAAAGTGGGCAGGAATGGGCAGTGCCAGGCTGTAGGGGACTGGGAAGAAGGCAATGGGGGTGTGAGCCTGAGCAGGCCAGGTGATAAAGAGCAAGGGCGGACTTGGGTGGGCTTTAGATGACTGTGACCTGCAGCCAGAGGAGGTGTGGGGCTTGTGGGATGGTGACATTGTGGTTTCTGGCTTGGGTGCCTGTGTGGCTGGTGAAGCCATTCCCCAAGATGTCAGCCTGGAGAGGAGCAGATTTGAGAGCAAGAAAATGAGTTCAATTTTGCTTATAAGACCTGAAAAATGTACATTGGGAGGGCCCATCAGGTTTGGAGAGCTTTTTGAGGTCCTTGTTCAAGGCAGACCTGGGGGGATGGGGTCAGATCCAGGTGTGCTCAGATGATACTAGCTCCCAAGAGCTGATGTTAAATATTCAGGAATTTTGCGAGACAATAATTAAACCTGCCTAATACTAAAAAAATTAAATTAGGGGGTGGAGAAAAAATTAAATTACATAAAATTACAATTAAGTAAATTATATTAAAAACAAAGGTACTCAAATCATCACTTCTAAGAATTTCAGAATATTTTATTGTTTATGGCTTTAAGATTATTTACATCTGTTATGTCTCTGGAAATACTATATGATGTTGTTTTACTGTGCTTTTCTTCCTAATTCCACATTCAGTGGCATCACATTGGTAGCTTGAAATCAGCCATAGTGGGAATATTTGCACCATGGAAATTGACAAACACCACACATTGGGGCCTGATTTATTGCTTTGTTGACTGCCTTGACATAGGAAAATTATGGAGAAAATGTTAATAATGCACTTTGAACTTTCATATATCTTGTGCCTATAGCCATGATGTTGTGAATGGTACAGAGAAATTGAGCAGATGTTCTTCCAGTATTCAAAAAGTATTACAGGATTCAGTAAAGAAGTTGCTTACACCATTGACAAAGGAGTGAAGCTGCAACACGTATCTTCGCTGTTTCACTTTTTCTTATTAGTCGGCATAAGCAAAAATATCAACCAATATTCACGTTAGAACTACACTCATTTGTCAAGTATAATTATAGGTTAGTTATGGATTTAGCAGATTGGTAAAAATCAATGAAAGCTTTCTGTAAGACTCAATTTGCTATATGCAATTTACAGTATAGACTATTGTATATTTAATTTTATTTATTTATTTGACAGAGAGACAAAGCGAGAGAAGGAACACAAGCAGGGGGAGTGGGAGAGGGAGAAGCAGGCTTCCCACTGAACAGGGAGCCTGACATGGGGCTCGATCCCAGGACCCTGGGATCATGACCTGAGCCGAAGGCAGACGCTTAATGACTGAGCCACCCAGGCACCCAAGACTACTGTATATTTTATTGCTACTTGTAAATTGCTAAACATCCTTTATGTCAGTAAAGTTTAAAATGAACTCATATGTGATTACATTTTTTCTCCAGAGTGCCTGTTGTTATGTATTTACCAGCACACCACTGGGCAGATTGCCTTAGGCTGAGGAGTGACCAGAGACCAGATTGGACTCTTTGGAAAGATTCCCAGAAGAGGGAGGGAATCACCAATGGAAAGAAGCTTCCATCAGTGGAGGGACTAGGGGTGGGTAAGTGAGGCTAAGGTGGAGGGATTGGGCTGGAGGGAGAGTTCTGAGAAAGGATGTAGAAGTGAAGAGAGCCTGGGGTGGGAAGCAGCTGGGCCCCACTGTTTCCTCTGCCAAGGAGGGTTCAAGCTGTGTCCTGAAGTGAGAGGCAGACGGGGTGAAGGTTTGGCCCAAGTGGGCAGTGAGAGACACAAAGGAGGGGCCTGGGAGGATGAGACTGACTCAGGAAGCCAGCAGAGACCACAGCAACAGAACTGTAACCGTGAGGGCGACAAGATGGGGTGTGAACCAGATTCCGGCCACGGGCCAAGCACTGCCATGAGGATTGCTGTATTATCTCCCAGGACAATCCTAGAGGAAACCAAGGCTGCGAGAGGTTAAGTCCTTATCCAGAGCCCACAGCCAGTTAGTGGCTGAGTCAGGATGCGAACTCAGGCACCAGGCTCTGTTGACAAGACAGGAGCCTGCACTGTGGCTCTTCTCTCCTTGGCAGAGCCCCTCAGACTAGGCAAATAGGAATCTCTTCAGGGCAGAGGTGGGCAGGGTAGGTGTGGCCGCATGTCAAGGGCTTATGGGCATCAAAGTTCTGGGAAAGCCTCCCCAGCCTGTAGCCTCAGGCTGGTGTCTGCCTCCCAGCACATTCTTGCTGCGCCACTCCACAGTGTCTACTGGAAGTTAATAATAATGAATTGGGGCTTGCATTTTTTAAAATATCTTTGTTACTTTATTTTCTAATTATTCATTTTATTGTATTTTTTAAAAATAAAGTACATGACAGATTGGGAACTTACAAAATTGGTCCTTCCCCTTAGAATATTTGAGAAGCACTGTTATAACCCACCCTTATTTTATTTTATTTTATTTTATTTTATTTTATTTATTTTGAAGTAATCTCTATGCCCGATGTGGGGCTTAAACTCACAACCCTGAGATTAAGAGTCGCATGCTCCACCAACTGAGCCAGCCAGGGGCCCCTCTAACCCCCACTTCTAATCCCATTGCTTCCCTGCTAGAAACCTTTAGTGATCCGCACTGGCTATAACAGAGGTTTCAAATAGTGGGTGGGGGCCAGTTTGTGGAACTTAATTGAATGTGTCATTACCAGCCTTAAAAAAAGAAAAGGCAAGTGAATTAGAAGGTATCAGATGATATTACAGGTAGTAAATACATTTTTGTTTCAGTTACTTGTATATTTCATGTATTATAATGCAGGTGTGTACTAGCATATGATGAAAAATGTTTGTCTTTCTATGCTTACAGTAAATAAAAATGTTTGAATGCCACTGTTCAGCAGCTACAGACAATCGCCAGGCCTGATATTCCAAGTCTGGAGGAGAGAGTGACTGCTGAGGAAGAGCAGGGTGAAGGTGAGCAGGGTTTGGAGGACGCCCAGCTTATGGATGAACAGAGGGAACAATATGAGCAAAGACAGAAAGACCATGACTTTCATGCCTAGTTTGTGTCTCCAACTTTAAGAGGGCCTGGGTGATGCCACTGGGAGCTTGCAGGCGGCATAAGGGTTATAGTCCCTGTGATGGGAGCTTAGGGGGGAGCCCCTAATTCTGCCAGGGAAATCAAGGGAGACTTCCTAGAGGTGGCAGTGCCTCAGATGGGAAGAGTTGGGGTTGTCCAGAAGAACAGGCTTGTGGGGAAGGCTTGCCCGGTCAGATGAATGGCTTATGAAAAGGCACAAGCAAGCCCATCATGTCTGGGGAACCATGAGCCACTTGGTGTAGGCGGAGCATGAATTAGGGAGGAGGCCTTCATGTGCTATGTTGTGAGTTGAGATTTTATCTTGGGATGAGTAGCTATGGAGGATTTTGAGCAGAAGGATGACATGAGTGGACTTACATCTCAGGACTCGGGTGGCTGTGAGGAGAGTGGATTAATGGGGAGGAGATCTGCAGCACCATCACTGCCATGGTGGGGCCTGTGAAGGAAGGCAGTGGGGTTGCAGGGGCAGGAGGACTCGGGAGGAGGAGCCGCCAGCTGTGGCCACCCGTCCACGAGGGATTGGGCTCTGAGAAGAGGGAGGAGGTGAGGGTGCCCCCGCTGTGGCTGACTCAGGAAACTGGCTGGGTGGTGGTACGTTTTACCCAGAAAAAGAACACAGGGGGCCACAAGGGCCTGGGGAGAAGATATAACGAGTTCACTGTTGAAAGGGGCGCCTGGCTGGCTCAGGTGATAGAGCATGTGACTCTTGATCTTGGGGTCATGAGTTTGAGCCCCATGTTGCATGTAGAGATTACTAAAAAAACCCACAAAACTTAGAACCAAATGGAAGCGGCAGCTATAGGTGGATGTGGCGGTGGGCAGCGGGAGCAAAGCAGAGAGGTTAGGCCCGGGGTACAGTCTGGGGAGAGTGCAGAGTGAGAGAGAGGGTGCTATCGAGGGGAGAAAGGAGCCCACAGGAGACTGAGGAGAGTGGTCTTGGAGGCACAAGATCCAGAAACTTGGGTCCCGGGTGCCAATGGGACAGAAAAGACTTAGGAGGAAAAGCAGTGATACAGATGCTTCAGAAAATCAAATTCCTTGAAGGAGCCATGGGATGTGGCCACTGGGAGGCCACTGACATGCTGGGCCAGGGTGCAGTGGGGGGCCGGGGGGCAGGAGCCAGGGGCTTTGGGGGTGAGTGGGGTGACACAATGAGGCAGGCAGGAAGCAGGGCTGCACCTTTGTGCAAATCAGAAAGGTGGGTTCCTTCCTCCAGGCCCTCATCCCGGCACACTGGCCTGGCCAGAGGATGCAGGCTGGACTTCAGCCCTTCTAGGCAATGGGAAGGAAGGAGAGAAGGAGTCATTGACCAAGGGGGGTGCTGGACCATGTGAGGGATTTATTTTTTAAGACATGAGAGACTGGTGCATGTTGACTTGGCTGAGGAAGGGGAACCCATGACAAAAAAAAAAAGTATAGGACAGGGACATCTGCAACAAGCAGTTGGTCGGGGCGGGGGGGCGCGCAGCCAGGCAGGAAGGTGCACGCCTCTGGTGCATCAGGGGCAAGGCTGGTGTTGCTACCATGAGGATGGGGCCGGGACTGAGGAGAAGCAGGGTTGTGTGCTGAGCCCAGAGCCTGGGGCCCAGTGTGCAGGTCAGTCCTGCTGGCAAGAGTTAGCTGAGAATCTCTTCAGGGGGGCCTGGGAGAGGATGCCGAGCAGGGACACTGAGACACAGCTGAGACTGCCTGTCCCGGGGGACCAGTGGTTGCAGTGCCCAGGACTGGGTGACATCTAGACTGCCCAGGCTTTGGGCCTAGAACTGGGCAGACCAGGCTGGAGAGGGTCTTGGCACAGAGCTTTAGTTTACTTATTTTACTTTTTACTATGGAAAAATTTCAAACACACCCAAAAGTTGTGGGAAACTGAAATGAACTCTCTTGTACCTATCATTAACCTTCAGTGATTATTATGATTGTCAATGTTATTGTATGACTTCCCCCTGTAAGTACCTTTTTAAAAACTTTACAAAAATAATTTAGTAGATTTTATTTTGGGGGTGCCTGGATGGCTCAGTTGTTAAGCGTCTGCCTTCGGCTCAGGTCATGATCCCAGGGTCCTGGAATCGAGCTCCCTGCTCAGTGGGGAGTCGGCTTCTCCCTCTCCCACTCCCCCTGCTTGTGCTCCCTCTCTTGCTTTGTCTCTCTCTGTCAAATAAATAAATAAAATCTTTTTAAAAAACAGATTTTATTTTATTTTTTAGCGAAGTTTTAGGTTGACAGCAACATTGAGCAAAAGGTATAGAGAGATTTCCCACATATCCCTGGTTGAAAACTTTATTTGGAAATAATTTTAAGCTTACAGAAATGGTAAGAACAAGTTTCTTTATTTTTAAATAATTTTTTTCTTATTAGAGAATATATATATATATATATATATATTTTTTTTTTTTAAAGATTTTATTTATTTATTCAGGAGAGACAGAGAGAGAGAGAGAGAGGCGGAGGGAGAAGCAGGCTCCCAAGGAGCAGGGAGCCCGATGTGGGACTCGATCCCAGGACCCTGGGATCATGACCTGAGCCGAAGGCAGACACTTAACCATCTGAGCCACCCAGGAGCCCCTAGAGAATATATTCTCAGAATGTATATGGAAGAAAATTAAGATCATTCATGATCCTACCACCCCAAAATAAGTACTATCACTGTTTTGGTGTATTTCCTTCCAGTCTTTTTTCTGTGCTTTTACGTACATAATTTTTAACTGGATTTTTTTATCCAGAAAATAACTCCATCCCCCAAAACCTTCCTGTCTGGTGTGTCCATATGAACTGGCTCAGTCCCAGGGCCCTCACCCCCAAAGCCCTCCACAGAGACTGCAGAGAGCAACCACAACTGATTCAAGTCTGTGGTTTGTGGGTGCCCTCATTCTTTGGTTTCAGTGCCAATGCAGGTTTCCCCTTAACATTCCTTTCATTTTTGTTTTTCTTGAGTAATATAGGTTGATTTCCGTGGGATGAGTTGCCCAGTGCTCCTTGGACCACTGTCTTGCCCACCTTCCACACTCATCTCTGGATTCAGGGCATCTGTGTCTGAGCCTGTCTCCCCAACTCACCTGAGCACGGTGTGAGGGTAGGGCCCCGCTGATTCATCTCAATGTGAGGCCCAGTTGGCCTCAAGAAATATGTATGGAATTGAATCAACCCACTTATTTGGCATTGCCCATCCCCATTTATGCTGCAGACTTGCCTTACGCTAATTTACAGCCGGCAGCATGGTGTCTGGCACAGTGGGTGCTCAATGAATGTTTGTTACTGCTACTCCCAATAACTTGGGGGTTTCTGTACATGTTAGGGCTCTGCTGTTTTTCCTCCTTCCCTTTCCCGCCTCCCCCCACTTCTTCCAGATGGCAAAGAAATGACACCACTTTGACATGCCAGAGGGAAGGTGCCCCCGCTTTGTCTCCGTCTTCTGTAAGTTAGGAGCAAATCTAAGTTGGCAGTGGATTCACAAGAAGGAGCTCCCTGCTCTGAGGCTGTTTTATATGTTTGCATTGCTCACAATACCAGTTATCATTAGCAGCAATTAAAACTATTTCAGGATCAGTTCAAAGCTGCCTTTGAGGTATTTTAAGTTGGACCAAAGTCTCCATGTGTCTAGCTCTAAGCCAAGTTTCCTGGTGTCATTAGAAGCCCACTTGTATTTGGAGAATACCCAATCTGTATATTTTGATTGCCTGAATGTTTCATAAATTTCAGGGGTGTTTGCCACAAGTGGGTCAGTGTCCCCAGAGCTGTTGAGACTCTCTTACAAGTCCCACTCCCACCCTCAACTAAGTGAAGGGGACCATGGAGATGGGAGAGGAGGAGGGGGTCTGCCGGGCCCCTCTGGCCAGGCAGAACCCCTGGGCTCAGAGGGAGAGTGGCAGAAATCAGAGCAGGAAGAGATGAGGGCTTGGGTTAGGGTGGGGGCATCAGGGCTTGGGAAGAAGGTGGGAACCCAATTGGAGGGCATGTTGTGGGGAGGGGAAAAGGGAGGCCTTCAGAACACCTTAAGTGATATTCATATTTGATTGAAAGATAAACATAGGGAAAGAACCAATTTCGGCCTATTAGACTTGTAGGAAGTCAGTCAGTAATGTGTTCTGACTCTTGGCCATGGCCCTGACCCCAGGCCTGGAGGACTGGCAATAGCACTGAGGCCTGAGATCACTGTTCTGGAAACACCTCCAGGACCCTTTGGGACCCTCCAGGGCCCCCATTGGCACCAGGCATCTAGCTGCCGGCTGACAGAGTGGGTTCAGCTGGTGGACTGTGCTGGGCGGTTTTCTGGTAGAAGGGTTCTGAACTGATGGTAAGGGAGGGTGAGGGCAATCCAAATGGGCAAAGAGAGGTTCTGGAGAACTGGGCAAGGGCCCCACGGGCAGAAGTGCCTGTTTGGTCAGGGCAGTGGCAGGGACCAAGAAGGAGGACCAGTTAAGGAAAAGCTCTCTCTGCTAAGTGCCTTTAGCCATGACTGTTGTGAGGACTGGGTACTTCCTGCTTGGGAACGGCGGTGCTGGTAGTCTGAGGCTTGGTGGTTTGAGAATAGGGAACCTGCTGGTGCCTTGGGTTTCCCCACATGTGTTGCTTTGGTCAGAGCCCACCAGCCCCACCTTGGTCTCTGATCTGAATCCCTAATTAGATTTTTGTGCAGAATTCACCTCTTTGCCCTTCTTTTCAGCTTGAAGACCCGATGCCAGGCCCCATGAAGCAGAATGTCAGAAGCAGCTGTGGCTCCTGCCCCCAGGAGCGGTGCCGTCAACGCGCACCAGCCCCAGGACCGGGGCCTCAGCACGGGAGGGGGGCCGGCAGTGAGGGCCTTGCTCATGGTGGCGAGTGCCCAGAGAGGGGAGGAGGGGAGGCCCCTGTGTCCTTGGCCCCGCACAGTCGAGGGGAGGCTGAGGGCAGAATGACCCACTTTCAGAGTGGCGTGGCTGTGACTGGGATTGCTTCACATGGTCAGTCTGCGTATACATGTCCGTCTTAAACTCTTCAAAACGGGCTGTTAAACATCTGTATCCTGTTTTCATTAGCTTGTAAGCCATGGTGTGGGGACCTGCCTAGTTCTCTGAGCCAACAAGTGTGCCCAGAGGCTAATAAACGGCAGGTGCCTCCAATAAATCTGATTTTAATACTCAGTGTAAATGTGTGTGCAAATACATCTGGGAAATGAAAGGTGGGAGCTGAATTCTATATGCAAGTTACACAATTTCATAGCCGTTTTGAACTGAGAACCGTAGTGTGACTGTGTTTGCATGGGTGGCATGGGGTTTACACGTACAGGAGGTGTGTGCAGTGTGCAGGGAGGACAGCCTATATGAGTGCGGTGTGAGGGGGTATGTGCGTGTGTGGATGGGGATGGGGATGTGGAAGAGAAGTCCCCATCAAATCAGGTGGAGACAACACCAGCTATGTATTTCATAGGGCCTGGGTCAGAATGAAAGCATGGGACCCCTCGTTCAAAATTATTGGGAATTTCAGGGTAGCGCAGTGCCAAAGCCAGGTTGGCCTTTCTGAGCGCAGAGTCCCACGTGACGTCATATGCTAAACACCCACGGAGCCTGCCCAGGCTGGAGAATGTGGACCTCCGGTCTCCCCTCAGCCTACCTGTGCTGCCCTGGTAAGTCCTTGAATCCCTTTGCTCTCTCTGCATCCAGCTCCCAGGGTGACCCTGATTTGGGGGATGGCGGTGCTAGCCAGAGGCAAGCTGGAAAGGACCTGCAGCAGGTGGCCTGTGCATCTCCTCATCCTCCTTACATTTCAGTTGGGACCTCATCACGGGCACCACAAGGTGTGTGTCTCTCTGCTCTTCGCTCAAAACAATCTCCTGAGGACATCCAGGCCCCCTTGCCCCCACTGCCCACCGAGGGCTTCCATTCTTGGCGGCCCTAATGGGCCCTCTCCTGATCTTGTGCTTAGCACAACTGCCCCGGGGGGGAAACGGCAGAGGGGGCCAGGGAGCTGGGGGCAACAATGGGCCAGCAGAACTCACAGCCCCAGATTCTCAGTGAGGGGTTGTGGAGGGTGGGGATTCCCTAAGTCCTTCCTGTTCATTGTCCTGCTTTGCCTCCTTTCCGGTTGAGTGTGGTGTGCCTGCTTCAGAGCACACTCAGGAGATGCTGATGGATAATAAAGAGGGTGTTCCCGCCCCAATACCTATACTTGTCAATAATTAACCATGATTTCCTAGGTTCTGGGAGGAGGCTGTGGCACCTGGCCTGCCCCAGCTGGTTTAGCTCATCATCGTAGATTAGCATAGCAATTCCAAGGTCCCTCAGTGGTTTTGGGGTGTTCCAGGTATGGCTTCTCCCAAGGGTTAAGGGAACGTGAGAAGTTATTTCATCATGTTCCTGATCCTAGCCAGAGACCGGTCCCTAAACTCAAGGCCTTCCCGCTCTCCTAGTGACTGTGAGGGCTCCGTGTGCTTCGGTCTGGGGGTCCAGATGGGTCTGTACGAGCAGAACGCCTGCCGGGCCTCTGAGGAGGGTCCCCTGCCTCAAGCCAAAGGACCCAGAAGTGTAAAGGTTGTTTGGGCAAATGTCAAGGGCAAGGTGGGCAAGAAAGGGGATTTAGGCCCACGTGAGTGGGCAGGAGTGGAGATTTCGATAAATTTGTTAATCACTGGCCACGGGGCTTGGCCTGCCTCAGAGAGAGGGCATGACCGAGGCCCCCATGCAGGGGTGGGATGACCAGCTGGCTTTCCAGGAAAAAAAAAAAAGTCCTGGTTAAGAATTTGCTAATGTCTGCGGTGTCAATACTGCCACCAGGTCCAATTTCAAGCTACCAGCTGGTTTAAGAACTGACTTACAGAACTCTTGAACATTTAACAGCCAGCTCTCACTGCCCATTAGCTCACCGTCCCCACCAGAGGCCATCAACCACACAAGCCCCCAGGACCCACCCGCATGTCTCCCTGAGCCCGACTCCCACTTCCCTGCCTGTATTTGCAAAATGCCGTTACCCTTGCGTTGGACAGTGTGTGAGCCTGGGCTTGAGGCCAGCCGTCGCCCTTCACACCCCTTGTGCTGCAGGTCTGGAGGAAGGCCGGCTGTTCGGCCTCGTGGGTTTCCATGGTGCCGCGGAGGTGGTGGATGTGAAATGGCTTTGCCAAAGGGGACACCAAACCCAAGCAAGTGCCACAGCCCAAGTCTCAGGGACGACCTATCTCTAGTCCGGAGCAACGGGGAGGTATGACTCAATATCTGCCCTATGGTTTGACAAGCCCCAGTTTGGAGCATCTAGCAGTCTGCCAGGTGACAAGCCACCTTGCTTCTCACATGCCTCCGTCACACGCAACCTCCTCACACACTCCCACTTCCAGGAGACCAGGTGCGCCAGGTGAGCCACTACTAGGTCAGTTCCCTGGACCACAGGACGACACAGCGCCCATCCCAGGAGTTGGGAGGCTGTCCACAAAGTTCACTGGCGGATGGGGCTTCCTGGTCTTGTGGGTGGCCAGACCATTTCTCTGCGTGCAGGTTTTTCATGGTGCAATCTTCTTGGAGACCCACCTGCACTTTACACCTTCCCAGTGACTCCATTTCCCCCTCCTCTGGGCTTCTGGAATGACACGAGGGCCCCACCTTAGCCAGGCAGCTGTGATGAGAGGTGTTGACCCAGCTGCCTCTCTGCTAGCTCACTGTGTCAGGTGGAAGGGGCTGAGACAGCAGCAGGGACTAAGGATCTTCCGGTATAGCCAGGGACCCTGGGCACGTCCAGAGGCAGGACTGGGGCCAGGGTCCTCTGGGAGTCAGCCAGGCACTGGGGGATGAGTGGTACAGGGAACCGATGAGAAACAGGCTCTGGGCCAGGAAAAACAGCCCCCAGCCACAGGTGTGCCACCATTCCTGCTCCTCTCTTGTCTTAATCCCTCTTGCTTGGTGACAGCACTCAGACAGGTCTGGAGCCCGGCAGGGAACACCTGCTGACCCGAGAGTAAGTTTCTGTGGGGGCTGGAGACAGTCACATGTGTCTGGTTTGTGTGAACCTCACACTCTGGTTCATTGCAGGAGACAGAGTTATGAATGAACCAGAACACCACACTGCAACACGTGCTCAGCCGGGAGTGGGCTCGTGTGTGAGATGCAGAGGAGAAAGCTCCATAGAGGGGATGACATTTGAAGGAGGTGATGAAAGTGGGTCCCCCCAACAGCCCCAGTCTCTCTACACAGGCCCAAGTCAGGGTCCAACCCTGGGTCTCACAGATCTGCCTTCTGGGAATCCATGGGGTGGCCCAAGGCAGCCTGCACTCCCCAGCCGGAGGTCACACAGCCAACTTCCTCCATCCAAAGCCTTCCAGAACCTCACCACTGGCTTTGCCAACATGGCGGACATTTCCCCTTCTCAGAACATAAGGGAGTGAGATTCCTTGGCTGCTCTTTCCATGAATGAGCACAGAATGGGGGGGGGGGGGGGCGCGGAGCTTGAGGAAGGGGCTCTTGGAAGGTTCCTGGAGGGTGAGAGGGAACAGGAGGGGAGGAGATGACATCGGTGGCTCAGAGGTTGGGGCCCGCCCAGTGCTGGAGCTGGAGCCCATCCGGATCCTGACATACACTCCCAGAAGTTCAGGGTTGGCACCAACCCACTTCAGGGCCTTAATGAGGGTGCTCTGGCCTAGGCCTGCCCCCTTTCCCTCCCCTCCAAGTGCTGACTCTGAATCAGATGTGATCAACGAGGGAAAAATGACTGTAGCAGTCGAGTTCATGGTAAATGCTTTGTGTGTGTGTGTGTGTCCCCTCACTTAAACAATTTCTGTGCATTCTTGATTCTGGGACTATCCTCTGTCTTTCCCTCTAGAGAATCTTATGGGATTCCATACTTGGTTTAGAATGTATGAGAAACACCTACCCCAGGCCTTGCACATAGTAAGAGCGTAGTGAATGTATGCTCCTTTTCTTTAGCCACTCAAAGTGGCCACTGGGGGTTGAGGGCAAAGGGGCTTCCCCAGGCTAGAAGCTGATGGGCCTTTGGTCCTTGCCTCCCCCTTCCTTCTCCAGCTGATGACAGACACCTGGATGTCATAACATACTCTGTGTCCTCATCTGTTATTCTCGGACACAAGCTTAACCCTCTGGGGAGGGTACCTGAGTGGGTCCCCTCTGACTGGGACTGGACTTTCTTGCACTGTGGGCTGGCCTGTACCAGTCCCAGGGATGGATGCAGAAGGGTGAGGCACTGATCCTGCTCGTTGGGCAGGATGCTGGCAGGAGGGCGGGCTGAGCAAGGGCGGGGCTTCCAGAACAAAGGAGAATGGGGAGCCCTGGGGGCCTAGGCTAGGCATCAAAAAGGCTCTGCAGAGTGAGCAGGCCATAGCAGCTGCCTGTCTCCTTGCCCAGCAGTCAGTCAGACAACCTGTGCTGGGCCCCTTCCACCTGCCCCAGGCGGGCAGCAAACAACACTCTGCTCAGAGAGGCCTTGTTCTCCAGCGTGATTGCGCCCACACTGCTCTGTGGTTTGCTCTACTTGGTGTGGGTTGCTGCTGCAGTTCCAGAGGAGGGCAGAGGGATGGCAGGGAGTGGAGCCAGGAGCCAGGAAGGCCGTCAGGAGCGTGCCTTGATCCCGAAGCCCTTTGATGGGACCAATGTAGCCCCACACCTCTGGCTGCACCGCTTCGAAGTCATCAACGATCTCAACCACTGGGACCATGCCACCAAACTAAGGTTCCTGAAAGAGTCCCTCAGGGGAGATGCCCTGGAGCTCTACAGTGGACTCAGCCCCAAGGACCAGGAAGACTATGGGGCTGTGAGAGAGACCCTCCTGCAGGCCTTCCGGGGGCCCGAGGCCGCCCCCAGCCACCTGCCCAAGGAGATCGTCTTTGCCAACAGCATGGGTAAGGGCTACTACCTCAAGGGGAAAATTGGCGAAGTGCCCGTGAGGTTCCTGGTGGACTCCGGGGCCCAGGTCTCTGTGGTCCACCCCGGCTTGTGGGAGGAGGTCACGGATGGTGACTTGGACACCCTGCGGCCCTTTGAGAACATGGTAAAAGTGGCCAATGGGGCTGAAATGAAGATCCTAGGCATCTGGGATACAGTGGTGTCCCTGGGGAAGCTGAAGCTGAAGGCAGAGTTCCTCGTGGCCAACGCCAGCACTGAAGAAGCCATCATTGGTACCGACGTGCTCCAGGACCACAATGCCATCCTGGACTTCGAGCATCGCACGTGCACCCTGAAGGGGAAGAAGTTCCGCCTCCTGCCTGTTGGAGGGTCCCTGGAAGATGAGTTCGACCTGGAGCTCATAGAGGAGGAGCCCTCCTTGGGGGAGGGGGGTCAGGAGCTCTCCTATTGAGAAGTCCCCTTTTCTTTACCCCCCAAACATTGGTGGGAAGACCTACCACAGTGGAGGGGAAGGGCAAATACCCTTAGGGGTCACTGGGTTTTGCCACCTCTCTGGAACCAACTCTTGCCTCCTCCTCTCCCTCCTCCTCCATCTTCAGGGGCCTTCATCTGTCCCTGGTTGGGGAGGCTTCCATCTGAAAAGGCACAGGTGAGGGAGAATGGGCTGGCTATCTCAGAGGAAGGGGGAGTCCTCATGGGTGGTCAAGCTGCTATTGGTGGCAAAGATTTAAGGCTGGAAGGTTCCGAGAAGGCTAGAAATAGTCGACTGTCTTTCAGAGAGGACTGAGGTACCTCTTCATATCCTCTGAGATGTGGCTTAGTCACCTCCAGCTCCATGCAGTCCTTCTCAGTTGGGCTGGGTCCTGGCTGCAGGGTCCTCACAAGCAAGACCCACTCTTGCAGGTGAGGGTCAGAGCTGCTCTGGGAGTCTTCCCTGTTGGGTCTTCCCACCTCCCTGTATGATATAATTTCCTTCTGTCATTTGCTCTGAAACTCATTGAGCCTTATGCCAATAATTCATTACTTAAAAAACCAATAAAAATTGACTCATGGAAAAACCATGTAATGTGTTGATTAGGGATGAATGGAATGGATGTGAGCGGCTGGGTAAAACAGGGAGAAAATGTCAAAGAGATGGAAGATCCAAGTGCTCTGTGAGTGATTAGCCTGGAGATGTAAGAGAATATATACGCAGTGCCTGTAACTGTCTTGGATTTTCTAAGATAGCCTCAATTTCAAATATTTTTGCTTATTTCTTCCATAATTCTTCTAATCATTTCAAACTACAATATTTTCGCATCCAGATTTCCTCTTCTACCCAAGAGTGACCCTAACGTTATTTGTGAGATACTGATTGGGGATTGGAAAATTATGGTTATTGTAAACAAGTGGGAAAGTACCTGCCTGGCAAGTAGTTCATACAGCCACCTGGGAGACAGAGACAACAGGGCAGGGGACAAGCATTGACCTGCATGGGGCAGCCCAAGGGTGTCTGGAGGACAGAGGTGGAGGTAGCCGTGGGGGCTCTGGTATCTCAAAGACAGCTTCTTCCTGGAGTGACGTGGGGCCTGAGATTAGAGAGACGGGATGGAGTGGGGAGGACATTCCCAGATGTGGGAATGGGATGTTTGTTTTTTTAGGGGTCTTCCTCATATCTGCTTCTAAGTTCCTGCCTCTCTGTTTGGAACTCAGCCGGGCTGAGAATCTGGAAACACTCAGCCAAAAAGGAACTCAGCCGGGCTGAGTATCTGGAAACACTCAGCCAAAAAGGGAGACTGAGGGTGCAAAGCCTCAAGAGCTTTTGATGGGAGGTGGGAGGGGACATCTTCCTTTCATGAGGGTGGGATGAGCCTCTTCCGGAAGTTTCCACCTGAATATCCCCAAGGGAGAGACAACTAGCTGGGCAGGAGCCAGAGGCATGGTTGAGTCCTCGGCCTCAGAAGCCTCTGGGGACTTGAGGCTGGCCCTCCAGCAGCTGTTCTGAGCCAGGGGCCCTTGCTCCCCTCTCTGATTTTAGCTGCGATTCTCCTGGGAACTGAGGCCCAAGCGCAGCCCCTCATCCTCATGATTACCGCAGCCCATCCCTGGGCAGCCAAGCCTATTAACAGGAATCCGCTCCAGCAGGCTCAGTGCATGGGGGGCCGTGTGTGGTGCTAGGTCAGTACAAACGAAGTCTTCTTCAGGGCAAGTGAGGCCTGGAGAGGCCCGGCCGTGGAGGAGGGAGGAGCAGAGAAGGAGGTAGGAGAATACAGCAGAGGGAGATGGTCTCCTTGTGCCTCCCAGGTTCCTTTCTCAAGTTTGGTTTTCAGCTCCTAACAAATGTGGCTTCACTCCTAGGCCAAGCCCTCCTCTGAGGGGACAACCCAGGTAGCACCTCCCTGTGACCTATTTTCTCCAGGTCCTTCAGATCCGAGGCACACGCTCAGCTGAAGGAGGGAGGGTGGGGAGGCGGACAGGGGATGGGGAGTTGGGTGCCAGGCTAGAATTTCAGGGCAACACCTGGGTTGCCCCCTCTCTACCCTTGCCCACACACGGCAGGCAGCTGAGCCCTGTCCTACGTGAACAGGAACAGGCGTGACCTGTGGCCCAGCTGCAGAGGTGCTTGCTCCTCTGTTCTGAGTGAAGGGGGCCTGTCCCCGAAGGAATGTGAGCCCTGGGGTGGGCCCAGCCGGGGGGTGGGGGGGTCTGTGACTTTGTAAGCACAGACCCTCATGGAGGAAGGAACCAAGGGGTGGCTCTCATCCGGGAGTGAGACCGGAGACCAATGCTGTGTGCGTGTGAGGTGGTTGCAGGTGCAAATGCGTGAAGGTGGAGCCTGGGCTGCAGGGGGGTGAACGGCTCTCCTGGGAACGGAGCATCAAGGGGGGAGCCCTGGAGAGCAGCTAGGAAAAGTAGGTTGTGGACACATGGCAGAGGGCTTGGTGCCTGGGGTAAGGGTTTGCGCATAACCTGAGTCTATGATGACATAAATAATAAACAGGAAGGCCTGGGTGGCTCAGTCAGTTGAGTGTCCAACTCTTGATCTCAGCTCAGCCCTGCCTTGGACTCCATGCGGAGCATGGAGCCTATCGCGTGTTTAAACCACAGTCGACCAGAAGATTCATCCAGCTTCTGGGCGTATGATGGATACAGCAGCAGCAGAGAATGCAGCTCTGGAAGCCAGGGTGGTATTCAGACTTAGGGTCTCAATTTGAGATGATGGAAAGGGAGAGGCATCAATGTAAAGGTTTAATCCTGGCTGCAGGGGAGAATCACCTGGGAAGATCAATGAAAGCCAGTTCTTCAGGGTCCTGCCGTGCAGCCAGGCTCGAGAATGTGTGGTCTGCATCCCAGCTGTATTTACCCCCTCGTGACCCACAGGGTGATACCCGGACCAGCAGAAAAGCAGCATTACTGTCACCTGGAGCTTGTTAGAAATGCAGAATCTCTACCCGCACCAAGACCTGCACCAGAGCCTCCGCTGGGGGAAAACAACAAAACCCAACAGAAACCCTCTCCAGGTGATTCTCAGGCACAGGAAAGTTTGAAAAGCTCTGGCCAAGAACATTCTGATACCTCTAGTTAAGGGGCAACTCAGGGCTCCCACAAGGCACCTACTTCTCTACTAATGACCACCACACCCTGAATGGCTGTTAGTTCCCCGGACTATGCTAAATAATTCCTCATGCCTTTATCCCGCAAACATTTATTTTATTTTTATTTAAACTTTTGAAATACTTTTAGACTTTCAGAAAAGTTGCAAGAGCACTACAAAGAATTTCCATCCATTTTACCTAGTTTCCCCAAATAGTAACTTTTTTTTTTTTTTTAAAGATTGTATTTATTTGAAAGACAGCACAGCCGGGGGAGGGGCAGAGGGAGAGGCACAAGCACACTCCCCGCTGAGCGCAGAGCCCATGGCATTAGATCTCATGACCCTGAGATCGTGACCTGAGCGGAAATCAAGAGTCTGACACTCAACTGACTGAGCCACCAGGCACCCCCACCCCCAAATAGTAACATTATACCAGTTAACCTTATTCTCTCATTCTCTCCTTGTCTGTATCTACATGCATATAAACTGTTTGAAAATTGCAAATATGATATGCATTTACTTCTAAAGACTTCAGTGTGTATTTCCTAGAAAACAAGGAATTCTCTTTTAAAAAGATTTTATTATTTGAGAGAGCTCGAGAGAGGGAGAGCGAGCACAGAGAGAGTGGGAGAGGGAGAAGCAGACTCCCCGCTGAGCAGGGAGCCCGACACGGGGCTCAATCCCTGGATCCTGGGATCATGACCTGAGCCAAAGCCAGATGCTTGACTGACTGAGCCACCCAGGTGCCCCAGGAATTCCCTTATATAACCACAATACAGTGATCAAAATCGGGAAACTATCATTGGTATACTATTACCTGATCTGCCGACCTTACTACATTTTCCCGATAATCCCAATAGAAACCACTGTCTTCCGTCCATCGTTCAATCCAGCCACATGCTGCATTTAGTTCCCGTGTCTCTTTGGCTTCCTTAACCTGAACGAGTCCTCAGTCTGTCTTTGTCTTTCACACCCTTGACATTTATGAAGAGGCCAGGTCAGTTATTTTGTTGAGTGTGAATCTACATTTGGGTGACTGACGCTTTCTCATGAGCAAATTCAGGTTATGCATTTTTGGCAGGAGTGCCCAGAAAGGTGATGTGTTCTCCTCAGTTCGCAGCGGGAGGTACCGGCTGCCTCTTGGTCCTGCTACTGGTGATGTTGACTTTCATCCGTTGGTCAGAGTGTCTGCCAGGTTTCTCCACTGTAGACTATTCTGTCGTGTATAGTTAATGTTTTCTGGGTTGATGCTGTGAGACCATATGAATACCTTGTTTCTCGTCAGACTTACCCACTAGATCCATTGACGATCCTCGCCTGCCGATGGTGCTTTTCTAATTCTACTCCCTATGTGTACTAGCTGGCACTCAATTCTGAGCTTTCCCTTCCTGTTTGTTATTTATTAATTTAAATTAATTTACTTATTTTTAAGTAGGCTCCATGCCCCGCGTGGAGTCCAAGGCAGGGCTGAGCTGAGATCAAGAGTTGGACACTCAACTGACTGAGCCACCCAGGCCTTCCTGTTTATTATTTATGTCATTGTAGACTCAGACTCTTACTCAGCGAGTTATCCTCTGTACTACCATTATTTTGACACTCGAATTGCTTTAGATTTGGCCTCTTCAAACTGGCTTCTGTCTTCTTGGGCCATGTCCCCATCATAATCCGAGCCCCTCCTTATTTTCCTGTCATGAGATGTTCAGGTTCATCTTGTATCTTCCCTGGACCAGCCTGGGGATTGGCCATTTCTCCAAGGAACCCTGGTTCCTTCTGGTGGAGTCTGATATTCAGAAACCAGGATCTGGGTGTTCGGTGTGTTCGTTGTTACTGGGGTGTGCTTACATTACATGGCCACTGGCGTGGTCAGATCTGAGAAAAAAACCCATATAGTTCGTCTATATATGTTTCTACATCTATCTCTATATGTATTAAAAATGAGTTCATACTGATACCTCCAATTCCAACCCAGGACGATTGGGTTTATTCTAACCTCGCTTTCCATCTTAGCAACTTCTTTCTCCAGTGCGAAATCTAGCTCCGGGGGACTTGTTTGCGCAGTCTTACCATACCCAGAAAGTAGTTTTTTTTTTTTTTTTAAGATTTTATTTATTTATTTGAGACCGAGAGAATGAGATAGAGCATGAGAGGGAGGAGGGTCGGAGGGAGAAGCAGACTCCCTGCCGAGCAGGGAGCCCGATGCGGGACTTGATCCCGGGACTCCAGGATCATGACCTGAGCCGAAGGCAGTCGCTTAACCAACTGAGCCACCCAGGCGCCCCAGAAAGTAGTTTGAGAGCTGCCTACTCCTATGCCTACGAAAAACAAGCATACAAGCAACCAGTTATTAATCACCTACTCCGTGCCAGGTGTGCGTGGTCCTTGGCAGCAAAGAAGAAAAATGAGTGATGAAATCAGACCGCAGTCATCTTAAGGAGAGCTAAGGCTCCCAGGTGTGTAAAGCCCTAGGTAGGGTTGACAGTTGTACTTTGTCTTGAGGACACAGGTGCCCGTCGGGAGAGCAGCTAGAGGCCGAGACTGGAGTCCTAAATCTTTCTCCGGTGGCAGTGCTGAGGGCGTGGCTGGCCTCCAGGCCCCAG